GGCGCTAGCACTGTTGCAAAGCATTTTGCTGCACTACTAGCACTGTTGCTTATTCAGCAAAGGAGGCTGAGTGTGTTTATCTAGCTTCGTAAACTAACGCCTAACCAGATGTTGTCATTTTTTATTTTGTTAGCGACATTCTTTTGATCACTCTCTTATCATTACAGAGAAGATTCAAGGGATTGTTGTTGAATTGTTTTCTTTTGGAACGAAACAAGTGCTTGCGATTTTCAAACTTCATATGAAGACCCAGCTTTCAGCACTTTGCAGTTTCGTATATCTCATGCTTCCATTTGGAGGAAAACCTTCAGATACATGGCGTAAAAACGTTTTTGAAAAACGTCCTAAAAATTTCGACTGTTGAAATACTATCATTTCTTCCCAGAACATTCTCGTAACTGCAAGGTCAATGCTACATTGGGTTAGTATCAGCTCGTGTTTGGCAAAATCTGGAAAAATTATGCTATTACTTAATGATTTTATTTCTTACTTCAGTCAAACATCGCCATGGTTTTCAATGAACATTTCTGGCACTTAAAATCGCATATCATACAATTTTTTGCAAATGCTTTTCCATCGGTTTCACTGGCACTTGCTCACAAAATCAGATATATCACTGCTTTAGGTGTAGGATCACTTATCGCAGTATTATTCAAGATCCGCTTTGAAAAAAGGAAAGGAGTAGTCTCTGGTATTCTTTTTCTCACACTTTTGACGAATTTCCTGGGATAATTCATAGAAGGATGAATGCCAATGCTTCCAGCTGGCACTGGACGCATTTTTTATGCATGAGCTGAACTCTCACATAGAATGCGTGGTCTCATATAACTTCCTTATAACAAAGAGTGCAGTATAAAGATTGCAAATACTTTTTTCCATATAATACATCATAATTAGTTGGATAACCTTTCCTGAAATGAAGAATTTGCCGAAGTCTCTTCCTTAGAAGGAAAAAAATCCAAAAGTGCTTTTGACTGTGTGTTAGTTGATATAGAAATAATAGTCGCAAAAAAATCATTCTAAAATCTTACCATTAAACATTATAGGTTGAATCGAAACTGATGTCGCATTGATTTTGAAAAATTCATAATTCTTAATGTGGACGTATTTGCTTCCAAAAAATCTCATCAGAAAGAAAATCCATTCACTTCCTGATAGCATATTCGCGGCTTTTTGATGACAAGGAGCTACTGAGAAAAAACTCGAATAGGAGGACCGAAGGCCTTTTTTCTATAATAAATTGTGAAATTCTGGAACGCTGCAGAAAAATTTGGAACATGTCTTTGAGAGTCTACGTGAGCTGCTCTGTGCCAAGTTTCTGCTGATCTAGCATTTTTTTCTGAAAATATATGATTTACATGAAAAATGTAAAAAACTGCAAAAGTGAGGTTTTGCACATCTCTCGTTTCAACCTATTATCTCCCTGCTCATACCATTGTAACCGTGAAGAAGCTACTACTAAAACACATTTTATGGATTTTCAGTTTCTTGGGCCGCTTTTTTCTCATAATTTTTGCTTTGTGAATATCAGCCTTTCTATGTGATAGCGTATGATTGTGCAACCTCCTGTAAAGAAGGTGACAATAATCTCTTCGTTTTTTCCTTTCTCCCTATACTTTTCTTTTCATTCGCTTGACACGTTCAACAATCACTTCCTATTTACGTAGAAGAGTAGAACTTCCTCCTAATTTTCAGAAAAATTTCTTTCGCCATCAATAATTTGAGTGAAATTGCCATGCTTACGCTTGATTAGAATGGGGAAATTAGAATCTAGGTGAAAAATATTAGGTTTGTTGCTGAAAGATTCTTCCGTTTCATGACTTATGCATCAAACTCGGAGAACACAAACTGACGAGAAATTTAGTGTGATACACATTTTTTTCTCCACTCCCTGTTTTCCTTATCTCTTCTTGTGCAGTCTTGCAGTTCTCAAGCGATTTTGCAAGACGCTTGAATTTTCCAAGTTCTAAAGATTCCTATCCTATATCGCAGAAGCGCTAAAAGGTTATACGTTATGTAACTACTTAGTTGTTACTTCATTGTCACTTTCAATTACCTAAATTATGCTCTTAAAGTCAATATTTGAGCACATTGGGGGGATATACCAAAAATTTCAGAGCGGGATTCTTTCTGGCGAGTCTTCACGATTGAATTAGTGGTATTTAAGCTTGAGCTCTCCAGAAAATTTGGAAGCTCACAAATTTTGCTGCTGTCGTGTGTTCCATAATTTTATCAGAAATTAAAGTGAATCAAGGAAATAATGATTTATCAAAACTCCGACAGGTTGGAAAATTCTACTGAAACACTATAGTCTAAAATATGCTATATGAATGTGCCTGGAAGGTTTCAAGGATTTTTGGAGCATAATTGCTAAGTAGAAAAGAAAAAGCTGCATCAAATACATCTTTGCGCTTTTCAATCTTTACTGTGCGAATTTTTACAAGCATCTAAGACATAGAAGAACTGTTTAACAAACTAATAGTCTAATGTTCCTACACAACTAAACTTTCAACATTAGCAAAGTTTCTCCACTGTCAAGCTGGATTTCTCAAGTTCAGAAGTTCTTCACTGATTGCATTCGCCCACATGTCTGCTTAATGCTGCATTCAGTCATCCGATGAAGCCAAAGCCGCTGATTTCAAAGATTCCATCCTGCAAAAAACAACAGCTTTCCTTGGAGAGCCATCGAGCCTTCTCTCCAACAAAACCAATCAAAAAGAATGCCTGCCTGCTTGCATGCATATCTGAGAACTTCTCTGCAGGAGAGAAAGTTGATCTTCCGCATCTGATCCGAGATTTTGTAAGCTTAAGCTCGTTTTTGCAGTCTGCGATTATTTCATAAGAGGTTTGAAGGCAGGCTATGCACTAACCGAGGACAAAACCCTTCCTGATCTTCTGCGAATTTATGATGTCATGCCAGTGGGTGTCTCTCCTTCTACCAAGATTTTTCACCATTCAGACATTCTGAGGCTGTCAGATGCAGCATAAAAAAGCTGCCATGAATGGCGACATCAACAAAATAGAGAATGTGGTCAAATATAGCGTGGGCTAAATTTGCGACACATACAGAACTGAATAACTGTTGTCAGTGACGCCAAAAATGGGCTAGCTGTACATTGCATATGGGCTCTTCTATCTACGTGGCTGTTTGGAAGATCCTTAGGAAGAGAGACTGCATGATTCATAAGTCGCATGACCTCGCATTTATTCAAGATTACGGTGCTGATACTCTTTATTCATGCTAAATTTTGATATGCCGCCACTTGTTCAGTTTTAATACTCTTCAAAATATGATTTGCACTTCTGTAATTCTTTTGTCTAATCTTCAAATGCTTCTGACTAACTTTCAATGTATTCTGCACTTTATCGGAGCTATACTGAGTTGGCTAAAAGCAAAATCGAAATTTCTAATCCGTGATGACAGAAGACGTAAATTTGTTTCCTACAAATTTGGTTGCCTAACTATGGATAAAGGAAATTAGCGCATGAGATCTTGGTAGATCAAGTTTTGGGACGTGGAACTGGTACTGACTCATAAAATTTGCTTAATTTGGTGCAGTAATTATGTTCCCTGAATAAATATGTAGACTCAAATTAAAATATGAGGACAAGAATACAGATCGAAATTTGGATCCAAGCTCCCCAATATAAAACGACCAACTCCTCACGCACTTTTCTTCTTTGTAACGAATGGTGGTCATTCTATTCAATCTGAACCCCACAAAACGAGTTCTACGACTATGTTCCTGTACTTCCGACACATAATCAATTTGATGGAAGTGGCTTACGACGATATTGATAAAACACCCACTTTTTCACATAATCTTTGGTATACTGTGCAGGCATAATTCATTTAAGAACAATGTAGTAAGTTCCCGAAACGCATGGGAACACTGTGAAATTAATATTAAACAAAATTTGGAGACGCTTTTCTGCCTATGACAGGAAAGCTTGATTTGAAGTGTATATATGTACAAATGTAAAGAGATCTAAGATATCAAATTTTAGAATGTTGGAAAAGTGGAATTGTGCTAAGAGTATTGTAAAACTCTTGCATGATCGTGAATTTCTTTATACTGTGAACAACTAATTCGAAGGTAGTTATATTTTATAGTTCTTCATTTTGAAGTTCTCATACATATCAGTGTAGAGAATAACTTATACTTCGGTGCTCCTTGAAGTTATTAAAAGGAGCACCCTTTCGAGAGCTTCTAGCACTTTTCCATATTTCGAAGAAAACATTTGGTGCCCCTTATCAGTCTTCAAGATTTTACACTATCTATAGCTTCTGACTCCAAAAATCCTCTTCCCCGTGCGACAACATAAAAATTGGCTGGAGTGGGGGAGAGCGAGCGTAGGAGGGTAATTTGCTTCGGCTGAGTTGTCGGCTAGATGGAGTTATTGGAGCGCTAAAGAGTATTCTTAAATTGGATTAGGCGCATTTGGCTGGTTTCTGCGCTGAGGAAAAGAGTTTAGCAGCCATTTTGTGGATTGGATGGGTAGAGAACATGCATGAAAAAATATCAGGAAGTTATTCGTAACGACCATAATAATGCTACATTGACAGAAGTGTAGATTTTTTCACTGATGTGTGCTGCCGGACATTTTCCAGGACTCTTTTGGCTATGGACCATAGATAGCTTTCTGGTGTCTAGGCATATTGGTTGAGTATGCCTTATCTTATGTAACTATTATTCTTCCCCCTAAAAGCCTGCCCCGATTTTTCATATCCTAGCAACTGTGCAATTACACAAATAGCGAAAATCTACTTCATTGTTAAGATTTTGCAACATGGGAATGTTGTTCATTTCGTTGTTTTTTCGCACCTAAAGACATGCTCATAAAACGTTGTGTTTTCGTCGCTTTTTCATCAGAATTGGTACAAATCCAGAGCATCAGCTCAGCAGCGTTTTTTTTTGCGCTCGTCGGCAGAATTGCCATGGCGGGATATCAGAGGCGGGGCGGGGGCCGGTGGCCAGAGTGTGTCCATTCGCGGTGCGATGCGGATCGTGCCCTTCCACCAGCGATTCGTCCCGGCGGCTCGTCCACCATCAAATGGTTTTCCTCTTATGAGACAATGTCCACGACGACGAGGTTTTCGTGCACGGTGGGTTACCGGGTCACCATAGGGCCAGATTCGTTAAGCACTTGACGTATTATCATTTTATGGGGTAAAACGCAATGTGTTCTGGCCCTTTAGGGATAGCTCATGCCCTCACGGCCCGCTGCGCATTAAGCTCAATTCATAGTAATTTGGAGGCTTATAGGAGAGATTCGTTTATAGAGTTGCTGCTGAGCTGCGTTTCAATCAAGCCTTTAGCTGCTTTCATGGCAAAAACTTGTTCCGTTTAGGCGGAAATACTGCCACTTTATGACTTATATACTCCTATTCTAAAGGCTACGTAACTTAATTGTCTAAATATTTTGTGCGTTTGAATTGGAGCGACCTGAAATTATTTCACTATTGAGTTCGCTAAAAATAGTTCGGTCATTTTCTGCGGTTTGTAGATATGCTACATGATCATTTATGTGGGAGTTTATGGAACCACTGAAAAGAGCAAATTGAAGTCAATGTATAGCACGCGTTCTATCCATTTAGAGAAGATATTTCAATGACGAAGTGGTACATTAAAGAAAAATAGCTGATTTTTTGAATCAAATTCTCAATAAAACATGCTCTGAAAAATGAACGGAATACAGGTGTAAAATGCGTATTTGGTGCCCACACATTAATTTTTGGATTTCAAACCATTTATGGCTATAGATAGTAAAATTTAAACGATCTAGACTGCCCAAAAACTTCCACGCGCAAATGAAAATTATCACATTTTTGGCTGCAAAAGTTTACAAACAGCAGTCTCCATTATAGTACGCTATGTACCCAATGGTTTTGTGCATTTCAATAACCAATTTGCTCATCTGTGAAAGTTAGAAGCTACAATTACCCCTATAAGGGCGTAATTGTCATTAATAGCGAAAAATCTTGAAAATTTGTTGTGAAAATAGAGAGTAGCTACATATCACATTTGCTGAAGAGCTTTGAAGTTGGTTGAATTGAAATTAATTATTAACCAACTCAATACTTTGCTGAAGTTTGCACTTACCTGAGACGCTGGAACTTGTCATTGATTTCACTTTGCTTAGAGCATACTAGCGTCTATGAAAGTATCGTAAAAAACATTTAAAAACCGTTGATACTTTTTCTAAAATTTTTCAAAGCTCTACAATTGCATTTTATGCAGTCTTTCTAGTTCTTATCGTGCAATACAATACAAACAATGAATGTTTTCTTGCACTGCAAAATGATAGCGCAGAATTAATTAGATTACTCAAAAATCCAAATTATTCGTTCGAGATGTGCAGTTTCACAGAAATTTTCCAAGTAGTTTATAGTGACTGCTAAACCTATGTATGCTTATAGAATTAAGCCTAGCTCTTTTAGGAGGGTGTTCGCTAATTTGCGCCTCTTTCTCTCTCCCATTTCCGCTCACTTCCTCCTCTTTCTTATCGGACTTGTTCCAATTCCTTCGCTGTCCTCTGATGCGAACTTTACAAAAAGTAGTTTTTCACTACATATTGGGCACATGTAAAATAAATTGTACATGGCTCCATTTTCCCAAGCCAACCTCATAACAAAGGGTTACAGATGCTTATTTGCATCCCTTGGGACTCAAAATAGGAAGAGTTTGCTTGTATATACTTCTTCAGGTGATGAATAACATCTCAGCTATTCTGAAGGCGTAAAGTGTATTGTCTCGGAAGTTTGTCAGAGACTGTGCCGAATCATTTGGGATTTGAAAGATTATGCATCAAAAACCTTTTGAGCTAAATACTGGTTTCTTTGCAGAACTGCAAAAGCTTATATGGCATGCATAAGTGTAAAGACTTCTCATCTTAGCCACTGCTATAAAATGTCCATGAAACATGAATGAGTAACATGACACTTTCAGCAAATTCGGAATGCAGTGAAGTAATTTCTTCCTTGTAAATACAAAACTTCAAAAAAGGCATCTAAACTAATTACTTGCACGTTCGTAATACTTAAAAGTTTCTAGAATGATCTGAAATAAGGCAGAAAAATTACTCCTTTTCGCGGAACTAATGGCAACTGACATTCAATTAGCGAGTCACTCACAAGCTTGACAATTAAGGCATATGGTGATGAACCACTACATGCTGATCTGCTGCTGAGTAGATCTAAATTACTGAGACTACTGCTCAGCAATGACAAGTGAAATGCTAGATAAAAATACAGTAACTATTTGTGAGAAAGGTGAATCTTGTATCTAATTTCCTAAATTACAATAATATTTGGCTTTTTGTTTTTCAAAGGAATTGCAATTTATTGATATCGTAAATGCAATTCGTCAAAACTCTTACAATTAGATTCGGCCGTCCAAAAAATTGCTGTTCGATTAGTTAAGTTTTGGAATAATATTCATCCAACCGAACCCATCTTCTCTTCAAAATTTTTGAGAGATGTGAACGAGGATTACATATTTTGTAAGTGTAAATCGCACACTCAATCACAAAGAACTCGAAGCATGCTTTATTCATTTTGATTGAGTGCCGAGAAGGCAATGATCTTGCTATATGTCAGCGAGATTTTTATGGGATAAACGTTTCTGACAGATGAAATGACCCTGGGTGCTTGAGGCAATGCTTTTACCGTTTTCAGCAATTCATTCAAAGTAATTTCTCTTCGTAATTTTTTTACTATTGCTCCTGTTTCTCTTTTGATAACAATTATGTCTGTTGGCATTTCTTTTCAGGATATATGACACTCCCAAATAATGTGAAATGTTCGATAGGTGACAACTTGATTGTTAGGTTGGTGCAAAAATAAAGAAGACGGGCTAAGTACTAGGTGGTGTTAGGTTGGTGTAAAAATAATGTTCGTAGCTTATAGCTTGGCATGTGAGCATATAAAAATGATGTAAACCGAGAAGAAAGCAAATTCTACAGGACGTTCATAAGAGATCCATCAATCATGATCCACGTCAGTCTGGAGCCGAAAAAAAACGCTGATCGGGCAAAAATTCTTATTTTCTTCCCAAGAAAGATTACGAACCTTTCACTTGGTCATTCTACAGTACATGGCTGCATATTAGGGTGTCTGTTTCATAATTTTTTACCTTTCTTACCCCAGATATCAGCATTCCTCGAGAACAGGGCACCTACAAAGGGTAGAAATAATGGTCGTACCTCTGTACGTATGAGCTATATGATCACGTGTGTGGGAGGAGCTCAAAATTTCTAGGGGCGGAGTTTGCCATTGTACTCCATTCATTTTTTCTTTATTTCTGGCCCTGGAAAGAATCCGAAAAGTCTACAACTGAATGTTGATGTGTCACGCATATGCTAGGATAAATGGGGAATTCTTGAGAATTTTTGAGCCGAGATTCGATTTTTACGGTAAAGTTCGTTTTTGACTGCTATCATATTTCAACTCAAAACATCACGTGGAATAGAATTGGACAGACCAGTGATAGCCAACTCGTAGCACTTGCTTACTCTGTCGAAACTTAAGCCACATCAATTGAAGGAAAGATACAAAAAGACGGCGGGTGTAATAAAAACGGTATAATTATGAGACACCTTAAAAGGATACTAGTCATCAATGCAGCTGGATGTTAACCGCGGCCCAAAGTTGAGAAACAGGACTAGTCAAAAAGATACGCCGCCTTTTTCGGGTTTTTCATGCAAGACTGAATTTTCTCTAAAACCAAAGCTCATATACTTGTAATTTTATAATCGTGCCTCCGAAACTTTGCGCCTATACAGTGCTTAGGAGGGAACTAGCATTGCTTGAAGCGGAGCTCGATAATTTTTAGCTAATGTTTTGTCACGGATTCTATGTGGGGAAAAGCAGAGCATATGCCTATGGAATGCTACTACTTGTCTCTTATGCGATGATAACTGGCTAACTCAAAGGATATCTTGGAAAAAAAGTTCAATTTATTGCCTTGCCAATGCTCACAGATTACTCCTTCAACCGTTTGTGGACCAAATCTTCAAACAGACTTTTGTTGAGTCACTTCGTAGAGCTTGATTCTCTCTGCATCGAATGGTGTTCCGCACGCGTTTCTCTAATTTCAAATGCTTTTGAGCAAGATCTATGACTATTTTTGAAGTAACCTAATACTTTCTCGAAGTAATAAGCGCAAATGAAGGAAAGGCACTGGTCAATCTTGCCCCGAGGGCTCCATTATGTATGTTTTGAGTGTAAATATGTTGTTGTTATGCATCGCCAAAGCTGGGATGAGTTTGTCAAAGCAGCGTAGCACATCCATCATTACTTGAATGGGCAATCATCCTTGACGTTGGTATGTAGCGAAACCTAGGGAAGGTCTTGAACGGGTATTATCGCTTTGCACTCACTCACTGTGAGTATAATTAGGCAACAACTTGAAGCAAAGGGAAAGTGAAATGTAAATTTAATCATCAGTATCAATCTGATCAACTGAGTAGATTAGTAATTTATAGGATCATGCCGTCTTATCTTAACGATGTCTTTGTATTTTTTGGAAATCCTCTCAGGAAGCCGCGAAAGGCCCTGAAAGCAGTGATTTTCGTTACGATTGCTAGGCATTGGATGGTTTGAGAAGAATTATGGGAAAGAAGAAGCAAGGTATTACCACGAAAGCAGTTTCCTTGTATGAATCTAGCCAGCGATGATGGTTTATTGTGAGTGAAAGCTGAAAATTTGAAGACCTTGAAGAAACTATGGTGCCCCAGTTTTCGTTGCTTCAAAACGCTCTTGATTATAAAATATCTCAAAATGTAGTTGAGTTTGTTATAAATAACATCAGAATGCAGAAATGTGTCTTCATACGGTTGCTCATTAGCGAATGAATGTCGGACACAAAACTAAGTGTTCACTATGCTTGACAAGGTAGAATGCCTTCAGCTAGTAGTTGTTACTGTCTACATTGCCAAAACCATTCTGTAGGATGTCGCGTTATGGACTTTCCTCCTTATGTAGGAATGAGATGCATACCATATTGAAGAGCATAAAACGCTGACTCCAAATCCGCCTTTCTTATCTGCAGAGCGTTCATGGACGAGAAGTTATAAGCTTTTTTTTTGAAACTAAAAACTAAAAGTGCATTTTAGATAAAATGAGTTGCTAAAATCTTACTAGCCTCAAATAATGCAACCAAGTGTGATATATCTTTTATTTAAGAGTATTTTTTTCAAATAAAGTGCTCTGATGATTATCACTGCACAACTGAAGAGCTACAAAAAGTATTACGGGTATTTTTGTCCTACTTGCACATTCATTTTTTGCTCCAATAAGCTCATAACTTCTCACCCATAAATGCTGTGCAGATAGGGAAGGCAGATTTGGAATCAGCAATTTATGCCCTTTAATATGGTGTACATCCTATCTAAGAAAGTCACTTCGACTAAACATGCATTCCTTGTAAGGCTAGTTCAGTGTATGTAATATCGACCTCGATTAGCGAAGAATTTGGATCTCAAAATATTATATTACTTCAGGTTTTGAAATCCTATTACAATAACGCGCGTATTTGCGTTTACTAGCAGAACACGTCAAGCTGTTGTTTACAGTTACGCATGTCTAATAGCAACTTTATTGCCTTCAAATGAAATATTTTAGCGCAGCTACGATGAATAGCACACGACAGAGCGGTAACGTAACGAATGCAGGACTTTGATGTCGAGAAAATTGAACCTTTTTGTGGTCCCTCGCGTTTGATTAACGTGAAATGCAACGCATAAACATAACATCTTGTTGTGCGAATTCAATTGGATCGTCAAAGCAGAATGTCACACGAGTAAACATGGCTTATTTCTCTCCAGAATTACCTATTAGAGTTAGGGACTCAGAATCAAACACAAACAAATAGCTTGATCCGTACTCACATCGCCAAGCTCGAGGGTCACGGATCCCAAACTGTTTTGAAAAGATCTTCTTGATTTATCCCAGATCTCAAGCCATGGTTGGATAGAGAGTTGGCAGTTGATAAGCTGTCATTATCCGCACATCGATATTCGTAATAGTGTGAAAACGTGGTATTCTCCTATGAGTGGTGATGATATTCGTTGATAGAGCTCAACCTGATCAGCACTGACTTGACTTTTAATAATAAGATGTGCTGGAAGTCTCTCATTGTATCAACCGCTGAAATTAGCTTTATCTCCGAATGCATTTCTCTTGCGAAAAGCTTATCAAAATATGACTTTAGTGATTTCTTAGCTGATATAGATCTAGAACGCTCTGTTTTGCTGTCACTGATTTTACGGCACCATGTTATCGAGATAAAGTTTTTCATGCGCAAAAAAGACAAACTGTCCTTCAAGTGATGACTGCTTAAATGGCTGGTATTACATTACTCTATGATTTTGGAAGTGCAGGTAAATTTCACATGTGCTACTAATTAGATGTGAATCATGTGTTCAGTTCCTCCCCAACGACAGATTATGAATAATACATGTACGACTCGAAGTAACAACCAGATTTATTCGAAAAGTCTATACAAAGTCAGATTCATCATCTGTCATTGCATTGACCAATGTGATAAATAGAAATTTAACCAGAAACAGAAATGCTCAGTTATCCTTTCTGTGGAACGGCTTCGTAGATCAAAACTGTACTGAAATTCCAAAGTGCAGAGTAGCTTTACGATGTTGAAAGTAGTTTCTGGTGCATCGAGGTTTTGGAAGATAGCAAAATTTGCTATTTTTGAAGTACTTACTTATAAGTAACAAAAATCTAGATGGTTTTGAACATGGCCTCATACCTACATTTGCTGCTGTCTTATTGTCAGCCTATTCAGCCACTCCCACTCTCTCATCCCGCTATCAATCCTCAAATTTATTTACATCTATTTAGTGGCACTGCTCTCGGACCGAGCCCCGAAATCGTACAACCGGTGTTGGCAAGAGGAACTTGTGTCCATATCGTTGGCGTATTCCAATCTGCGATACCGGCCGAACCAAACAATCTTGGTGAGTTTATCTATCATTCTTAATTATCGGATCGGAAAGGAGATTTTTCGTTGATTGTTCTTTTTTGCTCAAAAATCAATTACATCAAGAGAAAAAATTGCAGTTGTGAAATTCTGTTGGGGTATGTCGACAGTGAGTTGTATGGTGAAGACAAGGGTCGATAGGGAGGGGTTTGCCAGATTTAAGAACTGTTTTTTAATGTATGCGATTCGAATTTCAGAGTTGAGTCAAAATTTAATTAATTACCCTAATTTTACGCGTATAAGGCGCACTTTTCGAATTTTCAAGCGAGCTCAGCCGCTTCACTGTATTCCGGAAAGAGATCCTTACATCGCATGATTTTCTCAAGCAATATACAGCACGTTATAAGGTCCTCTGGTTGAAAAGCCTTTTGGCTTGTTTGGGCTGGTCGATTTTGGAAAAAAATCCCCCGCGCCTTATACGCGTCAAATTGGGGTAATCATTTATTTATTCTTACTAGAGGTGCGGCAAAAAAATCTGTCTGTCCAACACCAAACCAATTAAACATAAACCTACTGGTCACACGAAATGAAAATGTAATGAATAAGAGTATTCACAAACCCAAAATTGTATTTTCTGAAAATTTTGCTCGCAGTTGCAACATGAATCATCTTAAATAGACTTAACACATTTATTGCTTTTTTTTCTTTCAAAAGCTATACCCAAACGGCTGCAGAATACGTTGATAAATTATGACCTTCAAAAGCCCAAGGCGCTCCCGTGGAATGTTTCTTGACACTTATGTTCCTCGTCGGAGAGCAACAGCTCATCAAAGAGTTGCGCGTTGGCGTTGAGAGATCGATTCGATCATTTCCACCAGTTGTTCATCGCGTATTCTGTTTTTTTCCGCAAAATACATGACAATCAGTTCACTTCATTGCTCAATCCCACACCTTTGTGTAAACTTGGGTCCAAGTTTCGTTGTGATGAATAGCTGTGAAAATAATTGAGCGGATTGCTGAGTGCATATTCTACATGTGGCCTCGGCAGTGACTTGAGAGAGATTCAAAGTGATCGCAGATGCCACGTAGTTCGAGGAAATCCCTGAACCAGCGTGTTTCCCAACTCAAGACTTATATCCCAGAGGTTTTTGTGGAACTTTTGAGGCTTTACTGAATGACCCTAGGATCAATCTTTGCGTCGTAATGAACGATAACTCCTTCGTAAAATTTTCCTGTTAGTTACCTTTCAGTAACTAATAGACTTTTGCAAAGGAGTCACAATCTTTCCTCTTTGACAAATTATTCTAGAAGCAACTCTAGTCAACTTTTACTGATGCTTCGGTGGCCAATTAATGAAAGATTCATGAACTATTTACGTCAACGACGCTCAGCTTGAGTAATCGTGATGGTGCACCAATGATCGTCGCCTAGCACACTAATACTTCTAGACATAACTTGATATATGAATAATCCTCTTATAACAACAATTCTTGTTCGAAACTCAGAAACGGAGGCTTTATTCAGTTTTGTCTTCATCATCGCATTGATAAGTTGATTTTCGATCTTTCGATCGAGGACCATACAATCCACACATGTTTGGTAGCTTTGAAAAACTCTCTCAACAAATGAATGTTAAACTAGTCAAATATGATATTTGTGTAGATTCAGCGCACGAGTAAGAGAAAAAATCATTTCAATAAGATCACTTTTGACTTTTAGGTCTCTCAAACTGTTTCTGACTGTTACCGTCGCCTTTCAAGCTACATAGCATCATTAGAACGTGTAGCACATTTGAACTCCTTTTTGTTTATTGAAATCTACGAAAAATGTTAGTAACTGCTGTCATGCGCGGCAGGCTTTGGCTGTAACAAAGTTACCGTAAAAAGTGAAAAGGAGCCTCCTATCCCACCTATTTACGCAGTTCCGAGGCTCTACCAGCCGTAGATCCTCTTAATACGTCTTTCAACAAGGAAAGTATTATCTTGGATCCGAATGAACTTCGGAGAGTACGTTTGCTTATAGCTCGTAGGCTACAATAATCGTGTGCTTTGTGAAAGATTGCTAATCTGAACCCTGTATTTATTACTTTCTATGCAGCTCAAAACTCACACCCTTCTGTTTTCGTGAAGCACTTCCCCTGAAAGATCTGGAAAACATGCGATTAATTCACACTTCTTTTTTAGAATTGAATAGTCTCTGAAGTAAATGTTCTTCACAGATTCCAAAGTTTCTGTACTGAAACTGTGCACTGGTCCCCTCAGACATAATTTTAATAGAAATCAAAAAAGTGGTGGTTTTTGTATCCTTAATTAACACTATTGAGTTTGACAGTCGGTCCAATGATGATTTTTGAGCACGGCTTCAAAAAGCGCAGCATGTTGACAAATTTTTGACTTTAAGAAAGTAAGACGTTGCTGAGTAAGCTTTTGAATTGTAATCTATGAATGTTTCACTTTTTTGAATACACTTAACGCTTTATATGGGTACAGAGCGCAAATCTTTTTCATTAGAGCTGCTCGGCTATCTCTAATCTAATTTAATATGCGATAATGAGAACTCAGCAGAAATTCCTGACTTATGCAATTCTCAAGTGCCATCTGACGCTCTTTTTCCATAACTACCTGCTGAAATACGAGAAGCGTAGTTTTTTTCCGCCCTGAAAACATAAGCCTCTTCATTTTTCAGCATTCTGTTTTTCTAGGTGCTCTGTGTGAGTTCCAGTTAAAGCCCTTATTGTCATTTGCTAGTCTGGCTGCGGTGCGGCCACTAACCACAGCTACTAGTTCTATCCTTTGATCCTATGGAATTTTCTTTGAGCTTTGTTATTGCCGCTTCGAAAAGTCTCCGGCGGGGCGAGCTTCTAGTATAATAGCGTAACTGCTATCCTTTATGGACTTGAGTCGCCTTTTCAACAAAGAGTTTCCGGCACAACAACAATTCTTTTCACTGCCCACGCTCTCAGATGCAGACGCATTTCTGAGTAGAATCGCATCCAGCTATTTACAAAATATTTTGAATTCGGAGGGGCGAGGGTCTACATCTTAGCCTCTAAAGTATAGTCGCACGATCTTTAGAACCTTTTTATGATGCGGTCAATGCTTTGAGCTTATACACATCTCTCACAGCTTTGCGTAATCTAAAATAGAGGTATAAAGCTTTCCATGTTATAACTTTCCATGTTTCCATGTTCAGCACAAACTAGGAAGAATCTGCACGTAAATCAGCATGAACATATTCTCTCTATCGTCAATCTTGTGCTTTTATATATTTTTTCGCAACTGCAAGTGTAAACAAATGCGAACTACTTATCCTAACAAAGAGAACGTGTTTAGTTGAAGGGCCTTATATACGAACTTATACCATGGAAGGAATTGAAAATGCTAAATAACAACAGCATTCTCACTAGCATTCAAATAGAGCAGTGTTGAGTAGAAATATATCAAAAAATTTCGTTGCATAGAGTACTCTAGCATCGCCTAAATGCATTCTAAACGATTTCCATTTCCGGGTTCATTTTTTTAACGCTTTGAGGGACAATATCGCTCAATAGTCTGCGCCCAAACGCATGGCAAGTACCGGAGACAGACTTAGGATTGTTCTCCGAAATAGTTTTATCTGAAAAGGCCACTCCAAATGAAACGCTTTTTTTGTATAGGACCTTTAAAAGTCGTGACGATGGCGCGACCGCGCGCTACACGCACGCCACCTTCGGAAGTCGCATTTTCTTGGTTTTCATCTCTAGTCGAATGGTTTTCTTGTTTACCTATGATAATCTTTAGACACTGAAAGTGACTGAGCTAAACGTTGAGATGATGCCTTTTTGTATGAGCGTTTTATGCTCCTGTGGGGGTAAAGTCCGCAGTCAAATCCGTCGTCACGATTTTATAAATGAACTATAATTGAAGAGAAGAGTAAGAAGAAGTACAATAATTTTAATGGTATGGTATGCTATAGCCGGGTATTACACTCTCACCTCGGTAAAAACTATATTGTAAATTGATATGTACTCATAAATACATCTATCAGAGGTTGAAAGCGTTCACATAAGCAATAAACAAATCATTTTTCAACGAGGGTGTGTGACATATATTAGTGACATTTGAATTGCGTTTGCCTGCACATTTACTCCCACTGTGAATGAATTTGGAGTCTCTACTTTTCAAAAGCTTTGACTGCTTAGTTTCTGCTCTTTTGCATTACAAGTCGCATGAGGCTGATGCTTCTCCCAACTCTCCCAAACTGTTCTGTAGCAACTCGTCTGCAGCCCACAAAACCTGAAGGGACTCTTCTTTGAACTTCATGCAAGCTTAGATTCTTCCGGAAATTATTAAGGGACAATTCAGGTTAGCAGTCAGTGGCAGGAACACCGTTAAGTCCACTGCAAACTATAAAACGATTTTTGCGGAAAAATGATCATGTTATGCAGGATGAAGCTCAAATACGTGAACGCTGCTTATCTGCTATTTTATCTATTTCTCCATCACGTCAAGCAAGCTCTTCATCTCCATTATGCGCTCATTAAGTTATCTTCTGTGACAGCAAGTAGCACCTGTTCGCTTGAAAAGAGTCTCCATTCAATAATATTATCTGATAGCTCTGTCTTGTTTTCATTTATCTAACTTTCGTTGCTCAAAAGTTCGATTTGTAGCACCGACGTCAGATCGCGAAATGCATCGCCAGTACACCAACAATTCTGGCTCAAGCGAGGCGGAGGAGTTTACGCAGGAAGAACTGCAGGAGTTCGCCCAAGCATTCAAAGTAAGCCATCTTCTGCCTGTTTGCCTCATGAAAGTAGATTCATGGGGTTATTTCCAGATGTTTGACAAAGATGGTAACGGTACGATGAACATCAAAGAACTGGGGGTGGCTATGCGAACATTGGGCATGAATCCCACGGAAGAAGAATTGCAGGTATGGCTCATAAAACATGAGAAAATATTTTTCAACTCCTCAACCATGATGAAATACGTAAACCGGCCTTCCCTCATCTTACATTTTTTCAGAACATGGTGAACGAATATGACGTTGACGGCAACGGAAAGATTGATTTCGGTGAATTCTGCAAGATGATGAAAGAAATGAACAAGGAAACCGATCAGGAGCTGATTCGACTAGCCTTCAAGTATGTTTTCTCATATTTTAGATCTAAATTTGAAACAGCTCTTGCAAATGTCTTGTTGAGTTGCATTGAGATGCTCTGTATAATCTGGCTAGACATTTCTATCAGAATTCTGCGATTAAAGAAAACATATAATATTGTAATGAAATGAAGATTTGAGAAGTACATTTTGGGTTTTCTGGATTTCGCAATATTGAGCTAGATCTCTAATAACTCTACTTCTTGATCACCAGGTAGAATCTCTCACTGCTTTTGCTTAAACATCGCAGTTCAAAGAAACTGAGACGGACGTACTTCTTATTTATCTGTTAAAAAGCTACTTTTATTACCTACAAAGATATGTATCAAATATAGTTGTACCTTTAAAACCCCGATTACTTGATTTGAGCATAATAGATAACTAGCTGGCTTACCCGGCTCCGCCGTATGCTCCGAATAGAAAATTCCATTTCTTAACCGATCCGGACCAAACTTGGCACACTTACACTTCGGGTCCCGGTAGGTGTCACAGTCCACTTTTCGTTATCGATCGATGTCGACTTTATCGATTTTTTGCAAAATTTGAGCTAGGGGGCTGGGATTTGGCACAGGGGGGTAATCGAGCATGCTGATCACCCCGTGGGTGATCAGCATGCTCGATTACCCCCCTGTGCCAAATCCCAGCCCCCTAGCTCAAATTTTGCAAAAAATCGATAAAATCGATATCGATGCTCGATTACCCCCTGTGCCAAATCCCAGCCCCGTAGCTCAAACTTTGCAAAAAATCGATAAAATCGATATCGATCGATACGAAAAGCCTATGACACCCGCCGGGGCCCGAAGTGTATGTGTGCCAAGTTTGGTCCGGATCGGTTCAGAAATGGAATTTTCTATTCGGAACATACGTACACACAGACATACAGACAGACAGACATACATACAAACAGACATTCAGCTTTATATATAAGATTGATTAGATAATCTGTATGAAAGGGGACCTGTGCTGGGACCAACGCAAACACAACACGTAGATCACTTGAAGCAAACAAGTTTCGTAGTCTGGTGAAGAAACGTCACATCTCTGTGTTTTTCAGGGTGTTTGATAAAGATGGTAACGGCTTCATCACAGCCCAAGAATTCAAACACTTTATGACCACTATGGGCGAGCGTTTTACGGAAGAAGAAGTGGATGAAATCATCAAAGAAGTTGACAAAGATGGTGATGAGCAGGTAATTGCCTTTTCCTTTTTTGCGCCGAGCTTCCCAGGTGAAATATGGCGGACCCGTGGTTCACATTGTCAGCTGATCTCAACTATATAGGAAGACTTTTTCATGAAGAATGACTTATCTATCCTTCTAAGCCTTTGATAAGTTTTGTCAAATTGTTGATCCTTCAAACGAAAAATCATGTTCTTGGGAGCTAAAATTGCCAATTCAAAGTAGTTCGTCCATCAAACGGAGCATTTTGACTTCTGATGGGGTTTCTCCGGTACTCATAAATCAATCTTTTAAAAAGCAGCGATTTTTCCTCGCTTTTCCATCGTATGACTACACTATTCTTACGGTAAGACAACAAAAAAGTGATGAATTTAGCGCATAGCAATAATCTCTAACGCGTTTTATTTGCCTACTATATAAGTACTGTACTCCTACGCCACATGGATCGTAATAGTGGTTGTAATAAGCAGTTAGTGCTAACATTTCAAATGCTGTAAAGCTCCTAAATGACAACAAGAAGCAGAAAAGAACAGGACTGTACTCCTACATTGGTTTTGTTGAGCATGTGACGTGACCACAAAATTTTTTTCTTTCCAGATCGATTATGAAGAATTCGTGCAGATGATCGCGCCGATCGTTTCCGAAGGCAATAAGGACGACCCGTTTGCTGAGCCACCTCCCGTTGCCAATTCAAAGTGACCTTCCAGAGTGCTAGCGCCTCTGCTCATTTCTGTCGAATTTCTGTACAATCATTCCCAGTGATCTCCACAAATATCTATAAGCAATTGAATATGAGAGGAAATTGTCTTGTTTTGATTTTTTTGCACATTAGGTTCTTCCTAAGTGTGCCGAAAGAAGTCGTTCATGAAGACTTCATTTGCAGAACTCAAAAAAAAAGACGAACGAAAGACGAATTTCTCTCTAACAATGTAGTTTTACTGACTACACGATCCGTGCATGTACTCATATAGACTTGGTGACAGGTTCCCTTTGAAAAATTTCTATCTCAACTTACATTAGAGCTTTGAAAGAGTGCTTAGAAATTTCCTTTACGGGCAGCTTTGAATCTCCAGGCAGCAATAAACATTTAGAATTATCTTTCCAAGTATGTAACCTCATCTCCACTCCTCCCTTTGTCAAAGAACCCGTGATGATTCTTCTCCACCTTTTTTGCATGAAAATGTCATTGTTCGTTTGTAATAGATTCAGGACATAATATTTACGATTTGATTTTTTCAGACTTTGGGGGTTCATATATTTGTTGATATACCAATTTATGTTTCGAGCGTAACATAACATTCCCGTGCCATTCCTCTCAGCTTCGATCTCTTCCTATACATATTTGTTCACTACATGGTTGTATAGACGAATAAATAATATTGTACAATTTGTTATATTGATTGAGATGGCAGAAGTAAGTAGGCAAATAAGTACGAAGTTCATTACGAGGTAGGTATTTCTGGGTCTCTTGAGTGGAATTTTGCACAGATTACTTTAACATTCATTTTATTTCATTCTCCTATACATGACGTGCGCTACAACTTACATAACTAGGATCAATTCAAGGAAAAGGGTTAGTAACATTGACATATCGACATTAAGGGCAGCGGCTCGGCAGTGTAGACCTACCTCAGAATTTGACATAGATGGATAAGAGGCCCCCCAAGTGAACCAAAAGAGCAACTCCGGGCCGAAAATGTGAATTCTGCAAGCCAGGGGGCGAGCCAAGCTTCGCTCTCTTTCGCTCATTTCGCTTCCCTAGCATCTTGTGCGGACGAGTGCGTTCTCCGCTAGAAAACGCGCAGTCAGTCGTAGCTTCGTAGGGAAGATTTGTTCTAGCGCTCTCTACCTCCTTCCTCTGCGTCTCTGACGGCAGAGAAAAACGTCTCACTCGTCCGTGGGGGTTCCAAAAGACGGGGTTTTCCCCATTTTCGCGCTGAGGGGAGTTCATGTCGTGATTCAGAGGGCCGAAATAGCCCCAAATCTGCCAAAACCCCGAAGTTGAAAATCTGCCGAGCCGCTGCCTCTAATCACACATTATACATATATTAACTGCGTTCTTAGGGTGTTCCAGACTGCCGCACTGACCGCAGCAGACCGCAGGAGACTGCAGCAGACTGTAGCTGACCGCACTGACTGCGAGGCCGCACAGATCGCTGCTCCTTTCGTGAAGGTGGGGAAAATGAATAGTTATAGCACAAACAGTCTATTAACAATATATGCCCCAATAGACAACACGAGCGGGAATAAAATAGGTATATGCAATGACAAAAGGAATCAGAACAAATATGTATGGGCATATTGAAGAAAAACATTCGCCAAAAGTTGATTGAGAAAAGTAAGTTAGAACCTAGGAACTTTTTAGGCGTAAGTCACGGTGTTTTGATGCATTCGCAACTGTTTTCTCTTTTACGAAACGATGCAGCGATTGCGCGGCCGTTGCGGTCAGTGCGGTCAGCTGCAGTCTGCCGCAGTCAGTGCGGCAGTAAAAAACAACACTTAAAGGCAGCGGCGCGCGGAATTTCCTTTTTTTCAGATTTTCACCTTTTCGGGGCTTTCTCGCCATGAGAAACCCATATCTGGACTATTCAGTGCATGAAAATGGCGAAAATGAGCTTTTTTCAAGCCAGATCCGAATTCATTGAAGGTACGCCGGGAAAAGCAGCGTCCCGTCTTCCCCGTCCGCCCCGCCCAAAATGCGGACCTAGAAAGCTTCAGAAAAAGTTCATTTTCACCATTTTCATGCGCTGAAAAACCCAAATATGGGTTTCTCATGGGGAGAAAGCCCTGAAAAGGTAAAAATGTGGAAAACGAAATTCTGCCGAGCCGCTGCCTTTAAGTCTTCACGCATTCAAAGAAAATGTGAGAATATTCGAGGGATAAAGTTTTAGCCTCAACTGAATCGTGTTGAGCAGTTAATTTGCACATCATACAATCTCGAAAGTGTCACTTTTATTGTTCAAGCATATGGCATCCCAGAAAAGTCTCGAAACCTGGAACTAAAGTAAGTCTGAAGTTATGAGACAAACTGCATACTTCATCATTGCACAAGACTCCAAAACTTATTTCATACATTGATTGCATCTTGGTTGATTGACTCAAAAGGCAAACTATTTCTTTATTTTGTGGAAGAAAGAATAGATTTTGAATGAAAACCGCGATTTTTCAAAACCTGAAACTTTAAATTTTATAGGTAAAAAGTGATTTTTACAGGAAAGTTAATTTTTCTTACTACTATAATTCCAAATTTTGATTTGTTTTCAAACTCAATGAATGTGTCTTCAAATCGTCACATATCTGTTTTTCAAGATTTTCAAAGTTATTTTCAAGCAAAGTTTTGAAGTTTTGTTCCTGAAGGATATCCTTAGCAAGCTTTCTTGCAGCTCTCGCCCTCCCCGAAAAAACTTAGTTACTTGATAGATTATTCACTTTTTTGCCTTATTGCCCTAAATTCGTCTAGATCGCTCTGTGGCCTGCCCACAGTCAGTTCTTTCTTAAAAATAAGGGTTTGAATTATGAGAGTGCTTTTACGGAAGATCGCTGCTTTGTGGTCCCGCTATTTTAAATGAAATTTCGAGAACTGTGGGAAACTTGTCCCGTAGAACACTTTGAAATGACTTCATGATAAGAACATCATTCTTCTCTGCAAAAACTTGTCAAAGATGGAAATGTTACTAGAAAATATTGTATTTTTTGCCATATCGTTTTAAAGAACCTTTCTGGGGTTTGAAAAACATTGCTTTTCTCTCAGTCTTCTAAAGTTGCAAACAGGACTCTGTTATCAAAAAATATGTGATTATCTTTCTGTATAGTAGTTTTAGGAATCCCCCCCCCCCCCTACTTGCAGAAGAAACCACAGAAAATATATACGTCATGATCGGAAGGCACGTCTCACAAAGATTTTGAGAGGTCATAAAAACTTTTAAGTTATTGTGGAAGGGTAAACGAGTGCTTTCTTATTTCGTTGTAATAACCTTTCCCAGGGCTCAGCACAGCTGGCACCGGGTCAAGCTGGATATCGTTTTTAGGGCGGAAAGCAAAGGGGATATCGTTTTTACAGGGGCCGAGGCGGAGAACTGCCGCAAAAATGCCGCCGGCATGCCACCGGCATGCCATTGGCAAGCTGTCCATCAGCAAACAAAGGCGTTGTTTTCAGCCAAAACGCAATAGTATGACACCAAATTTGGTGTGTGCATGCGCGTTGGTGGACCGGAACTACGGGCCAAAAATTTATGAAAACTTATGTGAATGAAAGCTGTGCCGAACTTTTTTCTGAATTAGCTGGCACCGTGCCAGCTGGGTGCCAGCTGAGCTGGCACCGACACTTTGCTCACATAAGTTTTCATACTTTTTTACATAAAATGTATCTACACTGTAAAAGATTACATACGGAGAAGAAACAGTTTCATAATGTTCTCTTTTCAGCGTTTTATAGCAATTTGAAAACCACTCGGTCCGCTCCGCAGTCGAAAAATCGGCTTTTTCTGCTTCTCAAAAAATGATTCGACCACTTAAAAAGCTCAAAAAGCTGTGAAAAGTTCTTTCATGAAATCAGAAATGCATGAAAACGATACTACGTTTTTTACATAATATAAAAGTGATGACGGGTTTTCAAAACAGGTCAAAAGGAACTTCGTACGAAATTTTCAATATCAAACGGGACTTCGTTTTGAAAATTCCCTGGTGCCAGCTCGTGCCGAGCCCTGACCTTTCCTCTTTTGCCCCTTTCAGATTCCAAAAAAGTGTAATGTTTACCTTCCATGTGTGAGTTTTCATCTACAAACGCTATCTGAGAGCGCTCGGTGCAAAAGAATCATCTAAATGCTATGAAAATTTGTGTGCTCAACTTAGGCACTGCAAATTTTATCTGCCTCACTCACTTGCTAGGGACCATAGGGGTGCTAGCACTGGATTGTTTTTGGGCGGTTCCAGCTAGCTTTTCAGTATTTTTCAGGATAATTTTTTCGTAATGCTTCGCTCAACATACTGATATCCTTAGACCTTGAAAGTGAAAAATTGATCATACAATACTAATTCATTAACGCAAGTGAGTGTTCATCGCTTTAAATTATCTTCCAAATTTCCAGTGCAGCTTGTCGCTTTCTTAGCTATGAATTTCATCCGCGCCTATGTACATACATATATCGGCAAGAAAAAAGTGTGAAAACGAGAATAAAAAACTGCTTAGAGCTGCACACCTGAACTATTAGGGTGTTTCATAATTTTTTACCATTTTTACCCTAAACATCGGCGTTTCGAGAATTGACGTCTAGGGGCGGGGTTTGCTATTTCACCTCATTCATTTTTTTCTTTATTTCTAACCATGGAAAAATTCAGAAAATGTACATTTGAATGTGCGATGCAAGCATATGCTAGGACAAATGGGAATTTTTAGTTGCTTTGGGGCAAAGATACGATTTTTGTTGCGGCTCGGTGGGCCCAGCACCCCTAGCCGTGTGCTCGACTGCCCTACAGCACAGTCCTACACCCTAGGACGTTGCGCGTCCGACACCGACGTGCACTCCGGTGCGTCCACTCGACGCGGTCACCAAATAATACACCCGCACAGAACACGACTAGATTAAGTAAGTTTATATACCAAACAACAATAAAGTAGACAAATAACAAAGAAATACTACTAAACTACAGGCACCTAATCTACGGAAATAAATGAGAACAAATTACGGGACGAGCCGCGCGTCCCAGAATGCCGATGCATGAGAGAATTCACTCTAACTGTGAAGTTCTGGGTTCCTCCTCAGAGCCGACCGCAAGGAGGCCCAGTCCAGTGGAACGGCG